CCTTCCTTCCTTCCTTCCTTCCTTCCTTCCTTCCTTCCTTCCTTCCATCCTTCCATCCTTCCATCCTTCCTTCCTACTACCTACCTTGCGGCCTTCCTTCTTACCTTCCTTCCTGCCCTCCTTCTTTCCGTTCTTCGTTCGTTACTCTTTCATAATATATTTGTGTGATAACAGCTCGTTTGTTAGTGAGTTGCACAAGATGTATAGAATGCTTAAAGGCATGCTTGGTGAATTTTTATATAGTTAAGAAGTTGCATATCGCTCTCAACTAATCACCAAGAAGGTAATAACTACGAACGCTATACAAAAGAAATGCAAGCGAGCCGTATTTTGATTTAGTATAGCGCCTCCATAGGGCTTACCACGTTAGAAACAGCATTTCATTAGCACTTTAATTAAAAACATAGCCTCCATTGGAAGTTATAAAGTTCCTGTTTGATGGTTTTCATGTATTATAAATTTGTTTTTCTGCCATGATTTTTCATGCAGATGAGAATGAGTGCAAAGTAGATAACGGAAACTGTGACCATTATTGTCACAATTACATCGGTGGCCATTATTGTTCCTGTCGATCGGGTTACAAGCTTCAACCGGATAAGAAGTCTTGTCATAGTAAGTACTATACCTATTTTCTGGTTTTAAAGGCTAAATCATGACAGAAGCTTTTAAAACGAGCCCTCTGTCATGATGTCACTCCATTTATGTGGAGTTCCTCATCACTCCTTACCAGTCCTATTGATTGGAGTTTAGAGTCTTGGACTCTAAAGTTCTCGTAGTGGTCTACGTCACTATATTTTAAGGCTATTCACCTTTACAAATTTATAAGCAGTCTATTGCTTAAATAAGAACAGATGACAACTTACACTGTACGAGGTATAGAAAAACAAGTGATTTTGTTAAAGAAAAGTACCGTGTTTAAAATATGAAAAGGGTACAATTCTAACTTTCGTTCTCATTAACAATTAGACTACGAGCCCGAGTTTTATTTGGGCGAATATTCAACGAAGCGTAACTGAGTAGTAGGGCGAGTAGTCTAGTTGTTTAAGTACACACTTAAAAGCATTAAAGCCAAACCTACTATTTCGTGTATTTAAAATTAATATTAACTTTCAGCTTCAAAAGCAGCGGGTGCGAACGTTGTCTACCATCGAATAGAAAACGATGGCAGAACCAATCAGATTCGCGGGTTTCCAGTAGAACATAGCTCAATTGCTACTGATAAAATACAGAAAATAGATTTGCCCCTTGCTGTTTTTGTCACTTACTTTGGCTTTGTTTGAACATTCCGTAGTTATATGCAATGACCAGCAGTTTACTGCCAGAAGAGGCGAAATAGCAAGTCCAGAGTACCCCAAAAAATATCCGAAAAACTCCAGATGTGATTGGACCATTGCAGTGGATAAGGGATACCAGATAACGTTGACTTTTACTCAGGTAAATATGTTTATGGCTTGCAACAGCCTATCAGATTACTGCACTTCGTAACACTTTGTCACATTCATCACCATTTAAATTTTTTGGAGATATACAAAATTGCAAGTAATATAAATAAAGAAATAAAGACATAAATATAATGGTAATTAGGAATTTGCGGTGGCACATCCCACGGGGAGGTTCTTCGTCAGCTGTTTCCAGATCGAATTGGAATTGTAGAAGTGTGGATTTTCCTGAAGAGAGGCAAACCGGAGAACCCGGAGTAAACCCTCGGAGCAAGAGGTGAACCAACAACAAACTCAACCCACTTTTGACGCCTGTTCTAGGATTGGAACCCGGGTCAAACTGGTGGGAGGTGAGCCCTCTCACTACTTCGCCATCTCTTCTCCCCTTGCCGAATGCCCACCAAATGAAATTCTACAATGAAAGTAAAGCGCTTTGAAGTGATAAAAATCAAAAAGAAAGCAACGAAAATTGTTAAGAATAAGTACAAATTGCTTGACAATCAATGAAGTAGACATTTTTTGGCGTTTGGCGTTGATAGTGATCGCCTTTGTCAATCTAGTTTGATGTAGAGGACCATCCCGATGTGACATGCCCCTACGATTACATGAAAGTGTCAGCGGGCAAAGACAAGAAGTATGGTCCTTTGTGCGGCAAGACTCTTCCACAGAATATCACTTCATCTGCCAACTACATGCACCTTGAGTTCGTGTCTGATGACTCTGGAAACTACAAAGGATTCAGAGCCTTCTATGATACACACGGTAAGTACGCAGTGTCTAGTGTAAGCATGAGGTAGAGACCAGTTGCTATTTAAAATAGCATGTATTTATCAGTCGACCAAGAGGGTTATTCTTCCCAGACTTACTAGAAATTCTCTTTTATAACGCATCCGTTTTATTTATTTAACCAAATATTTATACTGGATGATTCCATTGCAGCAGAAACAATTTAAATGCAGTTCCATATTAACCAAGTTTAAATCGAAATGGCCTATTTGAGATAGGTTTTACGCCTGGTGGTTGTGTCCGCTGCATTTCGAACGTTTTGCTTTCAACAGGTTTAAGATGTCCAACTTTAGCCGCTCCAGAACATGGAAACATGACGGGAGACAGCTTTACGTTCAAGGACGTCGTAGAGTTTGGCTGCGAGGAAGGCTACCTTCTGACTGGCTCTTCAGTGAGAGAATGTCTTAACACTGGAGACTGGGACGGAGTCGTCCCTGAATGCAAACGTAGGTAGAGTAATTCCAGGCGCAAAGCATTACCTAAGGGAATGCAAACGACTTAAGTGAGATTTGCAAACGTAAACTGTCTAAATTAGTTTAAATGTTAGCTTAATTTAAGGAGGCTGGCAACAGTTTCAGGCACTTTTCCAATAGTTATACTTTGAAGGATGAATACTAGTACCGTTTATCAAGTGATGCTGCAATAATGGTATCACACAAATGACCAATGATTGGTAAACAGGTTGCGATCATCCTTACTATATAACAGTATGTTTCGTGCATTCGGACTTTATATTATGGACTTGTCACTTTTTTTTATTAATGACATGTCATTTTATGAATAATCCTTATGCCTTGTGTTATCCGAATTAGTAAGTGAATAAGCTACGTTTTGGATTTATGAAACAGAAGGCGTTTCTAGAAAAATAAAATGTCATCGTTTTCACGGTTGTTTATAACTCTGCAAAACAAAGAAAGCAGTCTTCTTCTTATGTCCTTTTTTTGTGAAATAGAACTTTTCGAAATATTGTCTACATTTTCATAGGTTTGGGTAAATAATCTGTAATCTATGATGGCGTTCACAATAAATCATTTTAGGAAAATAATTGAACAGATGATATTAATGAGCCACGTGGGTCGAGAGACAAGACGAAAATAGACAATGCATAATACGAAGGCTTGCACAATAGCCAGTACGTTTTTCTAATAGACTCGTTTAATTTGTATTGGCTTCTTTGATGTTAGCGGTAAATTGTGGAAACCCGGGAATCCCACTTCATGGCAAAATCACGGAGAGTGGATTCACCTACAAGAAAGTCGTCAGCTATTCCTGCAACAAGTATTTTGAGCTTCATGGTCCAAAAACGCGACAGTGTCTGGCAGATGGAAAGTGGTCTGGCGAACAACCTAAGTGTGTTGCTAGTAAGTAACCTCAGAAAATAAACTCTTCCCGTCAAGCTTGAAATGTTTATTAACACGATCTCCTTTTAATTAGATTTAAAAAACCGTCCTTACTCGTCCAAAAGGTCTCAACAACTTTTTTCTCTTTTTTATTAGCCTGTGGAGAAGTGAATAACTTCAATTTCAGCCGTGATGTTTGTAGGAAGAGAATTGTTGGTGGACAAAACGCCTTTAAAGGAGCGTACCCATGGCACGTGTTACTCATGAGGGCTGGTGAAGTCGCGTGTGGTGGAAGTCTATTGAATGAGCAGTGGGTTTTAACAGGTCAGTTGCCAAGACCTGGTAATTTCAAAGCGGTTATTGTAGTCAGTTTTGTTACATAACAAGTCTCTAAAGGGCCAAGTGACGCTTTTTAGCATGTATTGCATGCAGTGTTCCAAGCGACCTTCTGATGTACTACTGTGTTAGTAAATCACTGTCAAATTGAATTTAAAAAAACAAAAAAAAAACACACACTGACTAAAAGAATCTAAACTAATTAATGTGTGTCCACACCCTTTCCCCAAATTTGGCAGCAGGCAAAACACACTAATGTACCAGTTCTAATGTACCAGTTCTAAAGTGTTTTGTTAAACACTGAACAGTAAAAGAAGTGTTTCGGCAATCAAGATCAGGATTGTGGTTGCCCTTCGCCTACAAAATTAGCCTGTTCCACGCTATCGGTCATCCCGCCCGCTTTTTCGATCGTCCGCACTGACCGAGAGCCTGGAACAGGCCACCACAAATCAATCCATACACTTAAAAGTGTCATGTTCTGTATAGCTTCCGTGTGACGTCATTCACCCTAATTTTGTGTCGCATTTTATCTTAGCTGCACATTGTGTTACAACCAAGCAAAATGGTATCGTTCGCGAAGATTTACTGGAGATATACGCCGGTCTCCACCAGATCAGAAGATTAAACGCCAGCCATGTGCAGAAACGAAAGGTTGTCAAGATCATCAATCACAAGAACTTTGATTTTTTGCTGTTTGAGTCTGATCTGGCTCTTTTGCAACTCGATCGTGAAGTCAGAATATCACACTACGTAAAACCTGTTTGTCTACCGGAAGGACCAAGGTAAGTTAAATGAACTACTTGGAGGATGTTACACGACGGCCGAAAGATATGAATTTGAATCTCATCGATCTCTCTTTGCTAAGTTTAATACAAAAAAACATGTTTGCGCAATTTACTTCTTGAAAGGTTGTAATCCCAAGCTTTTCTTCGCACCTAATCGATGGCTGCACGTGAAAACTAGTCTGCTGCTATCTGGGAGGTGCGGTGCCCTAATAATTATCGCTTCTGGACACCTGGGTTCGAACCCTGACCGAGGTTATTCACTTGTTGTTTGCCTGAATAAGGCACTTTTGCTTTTAACCAGCCAGGTTTAGAAATGGGCAACACCAACAAATAGGAGGATCTAGCCTCTAATGAATAAAGCATCCTATCCAGGGAACTGGAAACAAGATAAGCTCTCCCTAGCCTGCGTAGCTGCAGGGATTGTTGCAAAGGCACTAACCCGCAAAATCCCGCCAGTTATGTACGCAGGCTAAGCTTTCCCTTCGCGGGTACCTAAATAGGACTTTAAACTTTTTCCTTCTTTTGATGTTATTACAGGCAGAAGAGGATGTTTGCACCAGGAAAATTCGGTCGCGCCGTGGGATGGGGTTACAAGGTAAGCAATAATTCCTTTGGACAGTTTGCAAACACCTTGAAAGAGATCTGCATCCCGACTATTGCCAATCACGTGTGTCAAGCCGCCTACAATGACGAAAAGTACACAGTGACACCACTCATGCTGTGTGCAGGGGAGACTCTTGGTGGAAAAGATTCCTGTCATGGGGACTCTGGGGGTGGCTTTGTCTTCTTTGACACAACCACCAGGAAGTGGGTGTTGGGTGGAGTGGTGAGCTGGGGCAGCAGCATGGGATGTGGATTACGTAACAAGTATGGTGTCTACGTCCGTGTGTCCGAGTTCGTTCCTTGGATTAAAGAGAAAATGTTTTAAGACCGTCTCTCGTTTTATGAACATCCTACTAAGCCACAATTACTCCAAACGTGTTTTTAAAAAAAGAAAGATAACCCCTTTAGACTGATAGTATTAGCTTTTATGGACATGTCCTCTTTATATCATGTCTGACACTGTTGAAATATTAATCATTGCTTTTGTGTTTGAAGCGTATGTGGTGCAACTGCATGTCATGAATTATATGTCCAAGACGTAAGCGAGTAGTTGTAAAACCGCTATAATCTTCACAGATGCGCTAATTCAAGCTACATAATTGCAAAGGCAATCAATAAAATTCAACTTCGCAGATATTTTGTTTATATAGAGTTGTAGAGTATAGTGAATGCTACATGATGTATAAGATGACTTAATTAACTAGTTTAAAATAACCCAGAGCTTTTAATCTTGTATTTAGTTGTAGCAATTGTTTGTTTGTGTAGTCTATATATTATATAAATATACTTTTTGTTCAATCTCGTTGATTTGAATGTCCGCTCTGTCTGCTAAATGGTAAGGGATTTCTTTTCCCTTGGGGCCTATATTAGCTGAGTTTTTTGGCCAGCCTCAAAAATTATCCATATATTAGTCAAGGGTCGTTTTAGAAGAGTTTCGGCTTTCGTAATTGTTAAGACTGCTTTGTACTGTCAAAGCTGTACAATGAGTTTCAAGAAAATTCCACGTTATATTGGAGAAAAGCAGCGTTTTATAACTCAGGTTCAACAACAAAGACGTTTTTATACAAGTATTGTACGGGTAACAAACGCGTTTCAGTGTGTATCGGGCCGTAATGATTTATATCTTTCTGGGAAAGACTTAGTAGCTTTATAAAGCGTGTGCAAAAACAAATTAGTTTCAGCAGTGTTGTTGTTGTTTTTTGCTGTTGTTTTGTATTTTAATAAATTCCTTGTAGCACTGTGCTTAAGTCTGTTATAAAGCCTGTGAACAGGCTGCTTGGTGATCGAATCAAGAAAAGAACAGGCCACGAGCCGAAAACTGTGAGCGAAGAGACAGAGACAGAGAGGGTGGGAGGAGTTTAAAATATCTTCGAAGACTCGGGGACAGTTAGTCGTGGCCATACGACTTTAACCAACAGACAAAATGTCCATGTCGAAGGATTACAAGCATCGCCTACACTGATTTTGCCATTCAGTTTTTTTCGTCTAGCCCCAACTGAATTACCTCCTCCTTACAGTTAGGTTCCATCCCTTCCCTTTCTCTTCCCAGTCCCCCTACTTCGCTCGCAGGCCTTCCCTTTCTCACCTGAGAGCTGAACACAGGCCATTATCAAGAACGGTGAGGGTACTTTTTAACCCTGTTCAGTTTGAAAGGAATTTTTTCCAAATATGTAACTGACTTATTTCTTTAACAAAATTTTTCTTTGATACAGTTATTTTTACCTTTTTTTTCCGTTTTTGGGCTTTCAGCATTTTTGTTTTTAATCCAACATGGCGGATTAAGATGGCGGCTGTTCGGATAACATGACGTTATCACGTGATATGGCGTGTCCATTCCATATTTTCAACGCGAGAGAAAAGATTTTTGAGTTTCATTATCATTATGCATGCTTTCCCACGATCGCAGAAGATCAAGGTAAATCCCTGTCTAAACAGGGTTGATAACTCCCGGCATAGTCGATCGAACGTTCGCAGATCGAACTCAGTCCGTGGATTAGGTTCGATTGAGTTCAGCAATCAATTGAAATCGAACACCGGACTTTGTGAAAGTTCGATTTCCGAACCAATCGAAGTCAATCAAACAAATCAAAACCAATCTAACTCAATCGATTAGATCGAGTTCGGCAACCGAAATGGTTATCCCTTTCCTCTTTGTGACCAACAATTGCCTTGTCTTAAGCTCTTGGTCTTCCAAAATTTTTAAGTCGAAAGGGGACACAATCGGAACTAAAATTTGTGTGTCACTTTGGCCATTGAAATATTGTATAAATATTACGGAGCTTGGGACGATGTCTTCAAAAGATCCCACAGCATAACAATCTTTTGGAATTAAATAATTGTTATATAATATTATGCAAGGAGTAAGAGAAAATAAGAGAGCTGCATTCTGTTACGGAATGAACAAATTATGGTTCGCTTGGAAAACTACCAGTAAATAAGGCACACAGTGTTTTGTAAGAATTCACGTTGTATTGACGTAAACTGCCGTGAAATTTTCTACAATAATATTTACAATATCAGCCCACAGTTCTGGCTCAGTGTTAAAAGTAAACACAGTTGCTTTTCTGTAGTTCACAGACACATCTGCATAAGCAACAAATACATTTCGCTTACAAACTTATTAAACTCATTAAGTAGTATATACCTTGTCACATAATTGAGTACTGTACCAAGTGTTCAGCCAAGATAAACCTTTGCAACGACCAAGAGTATGTTACTTCTGTGGCAACCATATAACTGTAACACTAGACGGTTATATAAACTGAGAGCATCTAAACTTACGTTTGAGTAAGCGCGGCAACTTGGCTTAATAAATATGGACTATATTTATGTGCTTTTAATTCACTATGATCTGGTACTTTATGATCTTATAACTTTGAGCCAAGTAAGCATTTGTCGTGATGTTTGAGAACACTTGCTATGTTCTCCTTACACTCATATCTTGTTTTAAAAACGTTTCGCGCGCTCACATAACTCACCAAATTCGCCACTTTAAAAACAAAAAGAAATCTGGGGCGAGTATCATCTCGCAGGGGCTTTTGTATCGTCACTGGGGACAATAAGCAACTGCGGCATGAGACTTGCCCAAGATTTCTTCCCGTGGCCAATGCATGCGTTGTGATATTTCTTTAACAACCCCCTTTAAACAACACACGTTATTAAAGTTGATCCGGCCAGCAAAACAAAACCGTTTTTCTTGGGCTTACTTTTTCTTCCTCGACAATAATACTTTAACTGATTAGTACTGAATGTTACCGGAATAATTTAGATGAACTTTTTTCCACTACAATTGGGGCCTTTCTAAAAGCGCCCCCCATTTCCTTTCAATACTCAGTCTCAAACGTTACCCTCACCTTCAAAAAGAGAGCTCGTACCAAGTGTGTTAATCAGCAGAGCGGCAGTGTGTGTTGCTACTAGTTAGGATTCGAGATCACTACTGACGCTGATACAAATTCAATTTAGGCAGGAGGTACGTGTGCCACTAGGTTTTGCACCTCCCTCGAGGAGTTATGTAGTCTGAATAAGTCAACTCGAGCATGGAGTCGACAGCTAGGTGGATTGACGAAGAAGAAACATTTGTTCCCTTGAATAACATTGAAGGAAGTGTAACTACAAGTCAGAGTATTGTTAAGGTCAGAAAACTGACTGCTACTACATACATGTATATTACAACACGTTCGTCTCTCTTGAAGGCAGAAATAGTTTTACTGAATGTCGGGGCTGAATGTAAGACGGCATCTTACTTGCAGATGCTAACCTCAACCCGCCTCGGGCACTGGCTACACTTGACGTAACAGCACCAGTAGAACTTGCAGTCACAACGCTCAGATCTGGGTTCCACTTTGGTGGTGTACCCTCGATTGCAGCACATTAATTCACATCCATCTATAGCTTGAGAAGTGCGATTACAAAACCTTCCCTGGGTCCCCAGGGAGCCAGTATTGGGATTTGCCGCACAAAAATCCGGCGACCCATCAATGTACACCAAGTCCGCAATGGTGTGTGGCTTGTACTTAGGATTTTTGGGAACTAGAACCATTCTTGATCCAATAAGTTTGACCTCCACTTCGGTAGCTCCGTCGAATTTTTCCTTGATGTGATCTCCTACCAGTCTGAAATTCGGTAGTGAACGCCAGCAGGTTTTAACGTTACATGACCCTGACACACCATGGCATTTGCACTGAAGTTTCATGAACTGTTTAATGGCCTGTTGAAATTGTGATGCACAAACAAACAAAACTATATGAGAGAAAATGTAATTTGTAATTGATGATTGAGGCAAATGCGAATAGACTAACTACGATTATTTCTGCAATTACTTCTGCGATTCAATTAATAAAAGCACAACAAATAAAAACTAATTGTCAAATTAAGTTACTATTTGACTGACTGTCTGGCTGTCTGACTGACTGACTGACTGACTGACTACTAACTTACTAACTGACTGACTGACCGACCGACCGACTGACTGTCTGTCTGTCTGTCTG